GAATAGATGCACCAAAACTCGCTTGTCTATCGCATCGTTGTGGAGAGCCATTCGAGCCATTCCTACCAGCTGTAGGGAACAATCGGATATACTAATTCCGGCGCTAGGTGAGTCAGCGTCGTCAGTTACAGCCTAGCCTTGCCTTGCGTTGACCGATAAGTTACCTATCGCCAGCCAGCCTTGTCAACTCGGTACGTACCCTACCTCCTGAGGTATTATTCTTGTTCTTCCCCCCTTCAACACAAACACATCGCATCTGCTGCTTGCCATGCTATGCAGCCCCTCTGAGAAATAACGAAGGCCGCCCTTCGTAGAAAAGTCCTGCTATTGGAAAGCATACGGTAGTCCGTTACTTCTCTCTCGCTTGCTGCGGGCATACGATACGGGTACGGTAGCTACCATGGGGCGAGCAAAACAAACTGCCCGTCGTGGTCAACCTCCTGCTTCATATCATGGTTTTAGGAGGATTGGCGTATTTGGCCATGCAGATGAACCATCCTCGCCGTCGACTTCCAGCACTCCCCAAAACGACCGAGATTTTTTGGAAAGTTCTTCGTCAGGTCTTCTTCCAATGGAGAAGTCGGCAGACACCCTCGAACTACCAGATGAACTGATCAACTTCATCTCTGGGACTCACTCGACATCCGAGCCGCCTCGAAAGAAACGCAAAACAGATTCGAATTGGAGCGCGGCACGTGAAAGCGATGCAAGTGGAGTGTCATCTGTCCAGGAAGCAGGACTTGACCACATTATTGTCAAGCAGTCTAGCTGGGACATTAAGTGCGTTGGATCCAAGCTGTCAAATTTTCGTAGAACTATTGAGAAGACTAACGTCCGCCCCTACGTTCATTGGACTCGAGGTCATGTTCCAGAGTATATTGAGATTATGAACGAAGCTAAGCAGTGTGTGTTCCACGCGCCATTGCCGCAAGACTCTCGTGGGTTTGAGGATGTGCTGCTGGCTTTGGAAGTCGATCACGACTCGAAGAAATGGGCGAAATCCCAGGGCAAGCTCTGGACCGAGTTTGGACTAGAGCTTTCGCAACAGGACGGAGTTGACTTATTTCGCATCGTGTTTGCTGTCAAGTGGAACATTACCACCTCGCCATTTTTCATCACGCAAGCTACTGCCAAGGTAAAGGTCTTACCAAAAGTCCTGAGTACATATTTTCCAGACCAGAGTGTCACTAGTATTGATAAGTGGAGTCCACAAGATTTCTACCAGAGCGTCCACTCTCCAGAAAACAACGATCCAGTCGCTGCGTCTCTGAGGGTTGACGAGCTTGAGTCCAACCTGTATCCTTTCCAGAAAAGAGCTGTCCAATGGCTTTTGAGGAAAGAAGGTTTCGAGTGGTCTGACATTCACGATCGTGTGATAGAGTCTTCTAAAACACAGGACTCAACATTGCCGGTCTCATTCATCGAAGCAACAGATGCGCAAGGCCGGAAGTGTTATATCAGCCATCTGTTCGGTTTGGTCACTTTGGATCCCACTCCTTTCCGAGCACCAGAACAAGGTTTGAGGGGTGGCATTCTCGCTGAAGAGATGGGCCTCGGAAAGACGGTTGAGATTATCTCCTTGATCACGCTCAACAAACGTCCAAAGCAACTTGAAAGCTCTATTTTTGACACATTTACTGGCCAGAATGTACGGCCGACATCGTCAACGCTCATAATTGCTCCACCAGCTATCGCTCTGCAGTGGATCTCTGAGATAGGCAAACATGCACCATATCTAAGGGTCATGCATTACCAAGGCATAAAGGCACATGCCAAAATGAGTCCTTCGGAGCTGCTTGATGCTCTGGCATCCACAGACATCGTCGTATCGTCGTATGGCGTTTTTTCAGCTGAAATTAACTTTACTCAACTAAATCCGGAGAAGACGTTACGGAACGCTTCTAAATATCCACGACCGAAATCTCCTTTAATGGCCTTGCAGTTCTTTAGGGTTGTGATGGATGAAGCTCAGATGATCGAGAGTGGAGTAAGCAATGCGGCTATAGTGGCTAGAATGGTCCCGAGAGTTAATGCATGGTGTGTGACTGGGACTCCAGTGAGAAAGAATGTCAAGGATCTGCTAGGTCTCCTGGTTTTCTTACGCTATGAACCATTTGCATCCATCAAACATATATGGTCATCTCTTATCTCGTCTCACAAACAAGAGTTTCGCACAGTCTTTGGAGGATTGGCTCTTCGCCACTCTAAGCAGAATGTGCGGGAGGAGTTGAGACTTCCGGCGCAGAGGCGGTATGTCATTACAATGCCTTTCACGCCAATCGAAGAGCAACACTATCAAGGACTATTTAAGCAGATGTGCGAAGAATTGTGCTTAAACCACCAAGGCGAACCTCTCACGGATGACTGGAATCCTGAGACCTTTGCCGAGGAAATGAGAAAATGGTTGGTGCGTCTTAGGCAAACAGCCCTTCATCCAGAGGTGGGTGGTAGAAACCGACGAGCGCTGGGTAATAAAGATGGACCACTGCGTACTGTCGATCAAGTCTTGGAAGTGATGATGGAGCAAACCGAGTTGGCTATCAGAACGGATCAGCGAGCCTTACTAACTCTCAAAATGAAACGGGGCCAGTTGTTTGAAAATTCTCCCCAAGTTAAACAGGCTCTTGAAATATGGGAAGAAGGTAGGCTTATTCTCATTTAAAAATTATTTTTTCTTCTATGCAAGCTAAGGAGTTAGGAGCTGTTTCGGGTCAGTATGCAAGCTCCTGAGACAGCTGCTAAGCTCCGAGGCTCTCTCCAAACCTCAATATTTTCCATGCTAATATTTCGATCAAGCCGCAAATGAGGCCGCCGCAATCGTTGAAGAATGCAGAGAGCAACTACGGCTAGAAACTGGTCGTAACGTGGTAGATGGGAGTTCTCCAGCCACGGACGAGCAACACGGAGCAGACAGTGATTCTGAAAGCTCGGAATTCGATGAGTAAGTTTGCCTTTGATAAGACACCCGACATCCCAATTAATTCCAGCAAACAGGGTTGATCCTTCTTCACGATTGGGAGCATTTCGAATCCGGCTTCGGGCTGCATTGGAGATCGAGCACATGGCTACATTCTTCTGCGCTAATGCGCACTTCCAAATCAAATCTAATGAAGAGATGACAAAGCCCGAGTCTCCCGAATTTGAAGCCCTAGAAAAGCTCGAAACAGATGGTTACGAGTCAGCAAAAAGAATTAGACGAGAGGTTCTTCAAGAGGTAGAAACTCCTACTCCAAAGCTCCAACAAGCCTTGGTATGCAATCAATACTAAATTCTAAATTGGTCACAGATTTATGGAAAAGCAGATAGACTCATGAAAAATATATCCAAGAAAGCTAGTTCTCAATCTTTTGTTCAAGTCCCCGAGTTTCCATCTAATCCACCGAAGGGTGGGCTGGAGAGTCGCCGCATTATGGAGCAGCTTGATACGCTTGCGACGGCTCTTGACGCGCAAGCTAATCAACTAGATGAATGGAGAGAACAAACAGTTCAGTTCCTTCTGCGGCCGCTGGTCGACGAAGACGAAGGGGTAGAGCTCACGGGTGACGAGTACGAAGAATCGACGAAGACTCAAGACGAGGTCATGGTATACGTGCAGGCTCTAAGAGCTGTCATTGCTGACCGATACGACGCTCTTACAGGGCAAGAGAATAAGCTTACAGAGTATGATGTCAATTGGGCTCTTAGCTTAGCGAAAAAGGGAGAAGGTGCTTTCCCCGAAAAATCATTGGTAAGTCACATTGGAGGAACATATCCTACTTCGGACATTTCAAGAGCGGTTCTGGTAGTCTACTCTTCGTATACATTTGAGAGTCTACTGATTTTGCAATATGTCTCAATTTCCTGTAGAATATTATGTCAACTCCTAAAGTCTATGTTATCAAGCAATACTGACTCGGGATTCATCACGTAGGAACTACTCGCGGTGCGCAAACACATCAAACCGACGAAAGAACTGGGTTCTGTAAGGGGTATCATTTCAGAGCTTCGAGGTTTAGCGACATCACTACGAACGGATGCACAAAATGACAATATAAGAGCTCAGAACGAACTTTCGATCATTGAGACACAACTCAATGCCACCCAGAAGCAGTTGGCTGAACAGACTAAGGCAAATACTGCTCTTGAGAAAGAGCTCGACCAATTCACCAATGTCATGAATACCAGGCTGGAATACTACAAGCAGCTACAGCAAGTATCTGATATGGTTGCGCCATTAGAAGAGCAGAACAACAAAGTTTTGCTCAGCAGACTACTGAAAGATGAAGCGAAGTTTGCACGAAAGCTTGCTTCGGCCAAATCGAAACGTCGATATTTGGTACACCTCAAGATGGAGGCTGCCAATCCACAAGAGCAACGTATTTGTGTCATTTGCAGAGATTCCTTCGAGGTTGGCGCACTTACAGTATGTGGTCATCAGTACTGCAAAGAATGTATCGGACTCTGGTGGAGTGGTGAGTTATGAACCTGTATCGCAGATTTGAATTTATACTAAAACGCACAGCTCATCGCAATTGTCCAGTCTGCAAAATGAAGTTGACTCAAGCAGACCTGCATGAGATCACGTATAAGCCCCAGGTGCTGTCGATTGAAGCGGAAGAGATTCAATCGGCATGTCAGGAACGAACCTCACCTTCTTCGAGCTCAAAAAAGTCGGCTATCTACTCGGATATTAGCAAAAGTAAACTTGCAGAAATAAAGAATATCGATCTTGATGGGCCTTCGTTCACCACAAAAGTAGACACGCTTGCTAGACACCTTATCTGGCTTCGATCTTCTGATCCAGGCGCGAAGAGCATTATCTACTCCCAATTCAAAGAGTTCCTTACCGTTCTAGCTCGTGCGTTCGAGCGCTTTAGAATCGGATACTCCTCAATCGATAAGCCAAATGGAATAGAGAAGTTTAAGAATGATCCAAGTGTCGAATGCTTCCTACTTCATGCCCGAGCACACTCTTCTGGATTGAACTTGGTGAATGCCAGTCATGTATTCCTTTGCGAACCGCTTTTGAATACTGCACTGGAGCTCCAGGCGATTGCCCGAGTCGATCGGATTGGACAGCAGCAGGAAACCAATGTCTGGTTATATCTTGTCGATGGGACAGTAGAGGAATCAATACACCAACTCTCTGTCAAACGCCGGATGGAACATATCGGGCAGCGGCTCTTGAAAGGGAAAGGTAAAGCTAGGGAATCAGATCCAGCTGAATTTCTCGATACGAATTTCGAGGAAGCCAATTCCATGGAATTGCAACAGGCTTCTTTGTCGGGCTTGCTTGCCAAAGGGGACATGGGCGGCGAGATGGTCGAGCAAAAAGATCTCTGGGATTGTCTTTTTGGCGGCGTGAGCCAGAAGGTTGCGGAGAGGACGCTGAAGAATTCTGATATAATATTTGATGCGGAAGTCAGCAGACATTTGAGGGCCGAGGCTGCTCAGGAGAGACTCGTCGGGTCATTATCGTAATGACAAGGAGCATTTTTGTTATGTTGTATTGATAGAATGACTGTTTATAAAGTCTACGCGCGCAAAGGTAGATGCATAGGTAAGGCTTTTGGGCGGCCAAGAGCATTTATACTGCTCATCTATAAAGTTTGTATTATAGAGGCGTTATACTTCTCCTCCGTTGCTAAACGAGTACGGGTAAAAAAGAGACTCAAATAAAACAACGCGAATTACTAATTACTAATGTTCGGTGGTATAAAAGTTCAAATTGAATCTACTAACAATTAGATACACACATGCACTTCCAGTCAGCCCTTCTTGTTACTGTAAATTGGTGTGGAACTATCCCCACCTCCATGCAAAACCAGCCGCATCGCTTCGCCTTGCCTCCCATGCCCATGCCCCTCCCCACATCTCCACAACAGCGTATAGACAACAACTTTCAATTGAAGAACCAGGACCTCAGAGCCAGCTCAATGGAGTTTCTACTATGACTCCTTACACCTGGTACTCCCACGATAGCCTCGTACCAAGCATAAACAAACCGCGGGAGCCATGTCGACCTTCAAACGCGCCCCCGTCATCCATGCCGGCGGCAACAACACGAACAGCATCATCACCTCCCTGAAGGCTACCAGCATGATCGAAAGCAAGCCCGTCCTCCCCGCTGAAATAATCTCCACGATCCTTGACTACTTACCTATCACTGACCTCATAAGCTTTGCACGGACCTCGAAACGAATGCTGGAAATGGTGTACGAGGATTCAAGATGGGTGCAAAGACTACAGGTCATGGGGTTATGGGATGCAGGAGAGGCGAGAAAGAGGTTCGAAGACGCTTTGAGGAAAAAGAGAGAGATAGTTAGGATGAGGGTGGAGGAAGATGCAAAGAGGGCTGGCATTGGGGTCAATGGGAATTCTGGGGCGAGGAAGACAAGTACGACGTTGTTTGATGCCGGCGTTGAGGAGGAACGCCAGAGGAAATCTGTGGATGCAGCTGCCAAGGCAGTTCGAACCTCTGTAGATGGGTTTGAGAGGCTGTCCTTATCAACCCCAAATCCTGCAGCGCCAACACCACGAGCACCAATGCTGGATCCGGAGGCCCTACTCAATATTTTCTCTGGGGTAAGGTCTATACGAGGCTCAGCGAGGCAGGAATATGGGAAGATATATGCGGCGTTGGCGCCTTTCTATTATGATCTCGCGAGATCGAGGAGCCATGTGGATCCTGTCATATTCAGGGTCTACCGAGACCCGGAACAACAAGCCCAAATGCTGGCCCATCTAACGGTATTTGCTCGAAGCGATTGGGCCCAGGGATGGAGGCAAAGGGAAGAGAAGCTGGTCACTATGATTGGGATATTTGAGAACGCTGTGCTACGAGAGTTCGAGCAGGGCTTCGAAGCTTGGGATGTTGATGGGAAAATGCATCGGTATGCTCATGTCTTAGGTGTACTGAATGGCGGTCATGCTGGTATTGAACTATTTGTGCAAAAGCATGCACTTTTCAATGATCGATTGGGGAATTATATGGATTGTATCAACCAGGCGTCCTCCGATAATATCACATTGGAACCTTCTCGCCAATTCCTAGAAGCGCTCTCAAGAAAGATCAATGAGCAGGCAGACATCATTGATAGGGTTTTCCCACCAGGCGAGGACGTACTGCATATATTGTTGGATAAAGTTGCGGAGGACATACTAATGGAGTATGTCACGCCGCTATTCGATATATCTCACGAGCGAAGTTTGCCGTCTTACCTGAAGGCGGTCTCGGGAATCTTCGATCAGAGTATGCAATTTGGATTAACCCTCAAACCTACGAAGAATTCTGGAAAGGACTTTCTTACAAATGTGAAGTCGGTCGTAGCTCGAGTATTCGAGCCCCATGTGGATCTTTACCTCCAAGAGGAACATGATTATTTTAAGGGGTTGGCAGAGACCGAAGTCGACACGTGGGACAAGAAGCTATCACAGGAAGATGCTACCACTGAATCATTCTTCATGGCCAATGTTAATCGGCAAGCCGACAAGAAGGATTTCTTGAGCTCCTTCAAGAAAGTCGTCATGATGCCCGTCAATGTTCTACCCAGCTTACCCCCATTTGGGGCAGCAAAAACAGCACCAGCAAACCGATTCAGCTTACAACCAGCTCCAAGTCCTAGATTATCTGGGTCCCCAATCCCATCACGACCGCAAACCCCAGGGCCCACCCCAGCCCTTACAGGGATCTCGAGCTCGTTGCCCTCGGAAGCACCAACGGATGAGCTGGCCGCGAAAGCGGCTCTTATGGCCTCGCGTCTCGAAGGGATTCGCTCATTATTCAGCATCGAGATAGCCCTCGACCTGACTCACTACGCCAAAAGCAGCATAGAGCGCGCGGGCCTGTTTGTACGGCTCGGCGGTCAGACAGGGGAGGAAGCACGGGAGCAATGCTTGACGATCTTTGTCGACCTGTTGCAGATTTTGGGAAATCGGCACGTGAAGGTTGGTTTCGACAAGGCTGTTGATCATCTTTCAAAATACAACCCCAGAGAAGTAAGCGAGCACCAGCAGGGCGTCGCTCCCCTCGTAACCTTTTTGGAATTGGTAAATGTAGGTGACTTGATCTCGCAAATGGTAGACGTCTTTTACGAACAGCAACTCGCGAGTCCTAGACTCGCAGACCGCAACGACTTCCTCGACCCCGCCGTCGTAGCAAAGAAGAAATTCGAGCAAATGCTCGACGAGCGGGTAGCAGCTGGTTTGAATAAGGGCATCGACGTCTTGATGGATGAAGTCGAATACGTCTGCGCCACTACACAGGCTCCGACGGATTACAACCCACCGCATTCCCCCTCGGGAAACTACGATATCGGACCTACGAAATGCGCAGAGCAAGTCGTGGGTATTGTGGAGAGTCATACGAAGATGTTGACGGGTAGCACGGATAAGACAATGTTGGATGTCTTCAACCAGGAAGTAGGACTGCGTCTCTTCACCGCGCTTTGCAAGCACTTGAAGCGCCAACGGATCTCCACAGACGGCTCTATTGCCCTTATCTCGGACATGAATCTCTATTTCCTCTACATCCGCACACTCAAGAACCAGGAATTGCTAGAGTACTTCAAAGCGCTGAGGGAACTTAGCCAGGTATACTTGATAGAGGCGAAGCATGCAAAAGAGATGGCGGAGGTAATTGCTGATGGGAAACGCTTTGGGGGCGTCTTCAGGGCCGAGGAGGTTTATGAGTTTGCGGAACGCAGGGCTGATTGGTATACGGTGAAGAAGGACGTGGAGAGGGCTATGTATGGGATTGGGTGCGGGGGTCATGTGAGAGAAGGGGGGTTTGCTTGGATGGTAGGGTACATAGATGCATATACCACTAAATTCTATCGTTTGTCTGGTTTTGGAATTACGCTATACGATTCCAAGTCTGTCTTGGCAGGTGGATTATATCATATATTCTCGCCCTGCCTGTGTCTTTGTTCTCCGCTTTTCCCGACGGTATTTGAAAGCCCTCAAGAGCAGCGAGTTTCTCGAAACTAGCTATAGCTCTTTGATTAATCAAGGACATCATTTGACTCGGAAATAGCTAAGCTTATATTAGTATTATTACAACTCACCGGGATTTAACGCCATCCGATACAGAGTTTTTGATCCCATAAACGCCACAATTCAAGCCATTTGTTTTTCACTTCATGCCTCCGAAATCCAACTTCCTAGCAACCTTCGCACCCCTCTCATCCTCCAGGACCCCAGGCCTCCTTTTCAAATCTTCGCCAATCTTCGCCCCACCACCTCCCTTTCTAGGCAAGTCTTGATTTTTCGTAGGCTTAGGGTCGCTCGACCACCAGCTGTGCTCCAGAATCTCTCTCGCCGTAATCCTCTTCCTCGGATCCAGCACCAGCATCCCCATCAACACATCCACACCTTCATTCCCTGCTGTCCCAAATGTAGCCAGATAATGGTCTTTCCCTCTGACGGGCGTGACTGGCTCTGGTACCGTGTATTCCGGCAACTTGGAAACGCCAGGCCAGACATCTTCAGACGGTGTACCTATTGCTTGGCAAATGAGCGAGATCTGATGGACCTCTGTATCACCTGCAATATAAGGAGTCCTAATGATCAACTCTGCGAACACCAAGCCAACGGACCATATATCCACAGCACCACTGTAATGCTTCGCCCCGAACAACAGCTCCGGCGGACGGTACCAGCGCGTTATGACATTACTTGTCATGATTCTATACGGGTCGGAGAAACTCCTCGCCAGACCAAAATCTGCAAGTTTCACCTCCCCATCTGCGGCGATGAGTAGATTGTTTGGTTTTATATCCCGATGCAGCACAAAGTTCTCATGGCACCACCATACTCCCCTTCCCAGCATGCCCATCCAGGCCTTGATATCCGCAGCTCCATACCTCACGCCCTCTGTATCTTTAATCAACATCTCCAAATCACCCAGAGGCAGATATTCCAGAACTAAGTTTAGATTCTGGTCTTTGGAGGAGAACACAGATAATAGGGAAATGATGTTGGGGTGTGAGAGTTCTTGCAGGTGTTTGAGCTCGCGGATGGCGTCGGGGGCTAGGCCTTCGGTGTAGGCGGCTTGGATCTTGATTTTCTTAATGGCGACGAGGGTAGAGGGTGAGGTGACGAGGTGGCCGAGGTAGACATTTGCGTAGGTTCCCTCTCCGAGTTTCTTGCCTGCACAGTACAAGATCTCGGGGTCAACGTGGATTCGACGAGGTGGAAGATACGCGATCAATTGGGCATCGACATACCTTTAACGTATTTGTGCTTCTCCTCCTCATTCATCTGCTCGGCTATATCTTGTACTGGAGCAAGGGCATTGCTGGTTTTCGTGGATGCTTCGGGGGTGACGCCGTTAGAGGAGGGGGCTGCGCTTGAGAGTTTGGATTTGGAGGTTGTGGCCTTGTCTGTGGGGCCGGGGACGAGAAGTGGTGAGTTTGCCATTGTGCTCACTGCTAATGCCCCTCGGCGAAGGTGGGTTGAATGTTGATATAGCACAGGGCTGATGTTCAACCTCGCAGTCTCAGCCTCATCTCGGCCGATCCCGTGGGTCTTATCACGTGACTATCGTAAGGTAATCTTACAATGGAATCTCGGCTGTGGCTTATGAGGTCATACTTCTCCACCAAATAAAGGTCAACCGGCAAGCAAGGATAATGCGCACTTCTAGGACGCCGCTAGACCCAATACAGTCTTTTGCCATGATGTAAGAATGGAATTGCGCGGCTACCTGCAAGGAGATGACAAACAAGGGAGATTATTGCAGGTGTGGCGTGGAAGACTTTGCTAGTTTCAAGTCAAGTCAAGTACTGTACCTACTCTACTCCATAGATACAAGTATATACGCGGGTCCTTCCTTCTGTTGATTTCTATCTACTTTGTATATACTTTTCCTTACCTTACCTTACTTTGCATCTACCGTAAAGTACACGTCTTCACACTCGTAACATAACATCGCGTAACAAACATCTTTATTATGTGGGGGGTATCATATTGGGTATGTAAAGTGTCTGTGGTCCTTTTTCACTCGCAATGCTAATCCATCATTCTTCCCCAGGTCTTCCCCGTCGTCTCCGGCTTCTGCTGGCTCGGCATGCTCATGGGCCTCCTCATCCATTGGAACGTCATCGGCAAACCACACTACCCCTCCATGGACGACAACCAGAGCATCGCCTATATCAGCGACGTTGGCGCCGAAGGGCTCAAGCCCCTCTTCATCGCCGGTTCCTGCGTCACCACCGTCTTCCTCGACCTCTCCTTCCTCTCGGAGCGTTGGCTGCGGCACAATGGCCGCCTGGCGAAGAATACCACGACCATCGAGAAGGTGTTGAGCGGCCTCAGCATGTTTTTTGCCCTGATCGGCACAGCTGGCTTGATTCTGCTGAGTATCTTCGATACGTTGAGGCATCCGACGTTGCATGACATCTTTTTGCTGCTTTTTATCGTGGGTTACGTTGTGAGCGCTATCTTCATCTGCTGGGAATATCAACGTCTTGGCATACGTACGTCCCCCCTCCCCCCTTCGCGCTCTCTCCTGCAGTGTCCAGCGAAATCAACTGACATCCTAAAAGATTTCCGAGAACACCGCATCCTCCGCGCCTCTTTCTGGCTCAAACTCGCCTTTATCCTAGTAGAAGTCGTACTTGCCATTGCTTTTGCAGCCACCAATTTCAAAAAGTCCTACAACGCAGCAGCAGTCCTCGAGTGGGCCATTGCTTTCATCTTCACTTTCTACGTCTTTAGTTTCTTCATTGATCTCTTGCCAGCGGTCCGGACGAAAAAATCGAGCAAAAGATTTGGGAGCACTGGAGAGGAAACACAGATGCAGATGGAGGAACACGATGGTGCTGCGAGTGAGAGGACTTTGGGCGCGAACAGCGAGCCGAGGACAGGGAATGGTGTAAAAGACAGTCGACAGGCTCCGCTATCGAGTAACTTCTAAGATCCTAATTAAATGGAGATGGGGTGGCAAAGGAGGCTTTGCGGTGTGGGGAATGTAATCAACGGTATGAATGGAGTAGATAGGATCGGAAGAGGAGATCAGTGTATATACCAGACGACGGCGTTTCAAGGGATCAGCCCAACATATGGGCAGGAGTTCTAGATTTTGGACAGTCTTAATAATGATTATGAAAGAACATACATAACTTTTACCCTTTTTCGCTCTCCCCCTAAAAGTAAACCTAGTCCTGCAAGCCTCAATGCGCGTAACTTGTTTCAGACATGCACATCCAGAACTCAAACGATCTTTCAATTTTCAGATTTCGCATTCGGAATACACATACTTATAGAAACAAGCATCGTCATGGTAACGCACCTCTTCACATATACAACCTGCAACCATCCCAGACCAACCCATCGTCATAAATGGCGAAAGCCACAATACAAGATAGCCGATCCACCTCCCCAGAGAAAGCAAGCGCTACGAGCCGATTTCCAATAGCAAACAATCAATACGAAACCCCACATGAATAAAATTGCTATACTGGACTCCAAAACTGCCGCATTTACCACCTTTCCTCCATTCAATACAAAAGAAATGTGTTAGGACCTAGATAGCCTCAACAAACTTAGTCTCTCTCGCCGGACTACTTGACTTCCCCGCAACAAACGTAGGCGGAGGTGCCAGATCCTCATCAAACCCATCTCTCGCCTCCTGGAAGTCGGCTTCGCTCAGCTCACTAACATCACTATCCTTACGCTTAACAGACCTTCCAAGTCTCTCATCTTCAGGTTCCTCATCCTTGACAGCGGGGCTGGTGAGTGGGCTTGTGACACCCGTGCTCTTCTGCCCAAGACTAACAGTAGAGTTATTCGCAGAAGCGCCTGTCAAAGCAGCGCCGCCGACGAAAGAAGTTTGATTGTTCGTTTCTGGTTCCTCGGGGCCCGATTTCTGACCACGGGATTGACGGCGGGAAAAGCGGTTCTTGAGCCAGTTCTTGACCTTACCGTCGTCTTTGGACGAGGTGGGTGAGGTGTTGATTGGCGTTGGCTCATCTTTATTGGCTGAGGAGGCGGCCTCGCGGATGCGCAGACTGGCTTGATCTTCCATGGAAGTACGAATTGGTGATGGGCCAGCGGCTGTGACGGGGTTGGCAGCGACCGGCTCAGGGGATGCAGGCGTTACTTCTGCGCCTTCGCCGCTGGCTGTGGTAGTGGTTGCAACTACAGGAATCGCATCAGCTTTCTGGGACCTGCGCTTCTCTTTTGAGAGGCGCTTGTCTTCATCCATGGCAGCTTTCTCTTCAGCCTCCCTGCCCTTTCGTTCTTCTTTGTCTTTTTCTGCGAAATGTTAGTTGGGGTCCTAGATAAAGTGAGAATAAACGTACGCTTCAACTGCTTATTGATATCCTTCTTTTCTTTCTCCTGCGTCTTTTTCTCGGCATCCTTTCGTCTCTGCGTATCTTGCTCCAACTGAATCTCGGCTTGTCGAACCCGCTGTTGCTCGGCCTTCTCGTTGATTTCATCCAAGACTGGCTGAACATTCTTCTGAGCAACCAGGTCAATTGCGCTCTGATTGACGAACTTCCCACCCCCTATATTAACTTTGCCATAGTTTTCCATACGAGTATCACTCTTCGCTTGAGCTGCAGCATGTGCCTTGACTTCCCACTCACTGAGGAGAGATGGGCCAATCTTGCCTGTGTCCGCAAAAACCCTTTCGTCCATTCCATGCAGGCTTTTTGTTACATTGCGCTGAGCTGCGGCGATGAGCGCTTCTCTGTCGTGCTGTCGTTTTTTTGTATCGACCTGGGACAAGTTGCTCGAGAACATAGACATTTGTGCGCGGATCCTGTTGGACTGCTCCTCATCACTGTCCACGGTTCCAGTACTAGATGCTCGGCGCCTCTGCCTGCCTCTTATTGTCAATTTGGAAGGAGGAGCATAAGAACTATGCTTTGAAGTGGCAGCAGCACCTTCGCTCGAGTAGTAATCGCGGTACTCTCTGTTCTTTGCATGCTCGTCGTGCAATTTCGCAAGACGCTCCTGAGCGAGCCTTTGAGCTGCTTCTTGAAGATTGACAAGGCTCATCGGTGTCGCTTCCTCACCCGTAGTCGAAACTGAGCCGTGCCGGCCATGTGCGGCAACTGCTCCATGGTGAGCGTCAGTTGCTGCGTCAATGTGAGTCTGCTGGTCATTGTACATTTGCTTCGCCATCGCAACAGCAGAGGCACGGAGAACATTGTTTCTGTTCTGCTCCTCCACCTCAGGTGCCACTGGAGGATGGGAAGTGTACATTTCTCTTCCCAAATTAGTAAAAGGAACAGATCCACCCTCAATATGGCCAGTGGGACGCTTTTTCTTCATCGAAGAAGTAGCAGCACTAAGAGCATTGCTTGCGGCTCTTGACTCATCCGGATAAGTATCGACCTTTACGATAGGTGTGGGATTCGATTCTGCTCGTTTTCTACTATTGGCCATAGCACCTGTCGCAGCCATAAGTGAGCCTCGACGGCCGAGCGCGGTATATCCATAGTTCAGTTGGGGGGACAGTGTCCCCGCGCCATATTTTTTGAATGCCTGGGCTGCGGCAGAACCGCCCCAAGCATTTGCTTCTGGTTGCCAAATTTCGACCTTTCCACCGTCCCTGTGTGCCAATACGGCTGCTTTTGCGCCGTCCGCGCTCGCTTCTGGTTGCCATAGAGGTGCCATCTTGTAATCCTTGGCCAGCATGGCAGCGGCCGACGCGGAAGCTGAGGGATCTGATTTCCAATGTTCAAATGGTTTCTGGTTTGCCCATCCCGAGCTCGCTGCTGCACCTGCAGCTGAATCCTGATCTTTGAGGCCGGCGATGGGGTAGCTCGGTAGGTCTTTGGGTTGGGCGTATTTGAGGGATGCTGCTGCGCCTGTCGCGAAACATCAATAAATGACGCATTGCACAGAATTTAGACTTACCTGCAGATGATAATTTATGGTCGCCGTCTAGGTATCTGTGCCCATCCTTTGAGGTGTTGTGTTTAGTGACGTACAAGGCGGCCAAAGCAGCTTGGTCTTCGAGCTTGCGGGGAGATGTATGGGGTTTCGTGGTTTGCGCCATGTTCGCAAGAAGTTCAAAGAAGAATCGCAGTATACTCGTAAAGGCCAGCTAATCGATGCGTACGGTAGCAATTCTTCAAGCGGATTGAAAGGAATGGATGGTAGGTAGTTATGGTTGTAGTTGTTTGGAATTCTAGAGTTATGTGGTTGCTACCCAGTGTTGCAGTCTTTATGTCATACGAGGGGTCGCTCTGATTTGGATTCAGATTCAGATGGACATAGGAACAGGTAAGGTAAGGTAAGGTAAGGTAAGGTAAGGTAAGGTAAGGTAAGGTAAGGTAAGGTAAGGTAAGGTAAGGTAAGGTAGGTAAGGTATGATAGAAGATGATGACGGTGAAGAGGAGATGAAGAGGAGATGAAGAGGAGATGAAGAGGAGATGTTAAGCCGATCAATCCTACCTGCTGCCACTACTGATGCTATTGGACTTGATCGCATCATGAACTAACTGGCCTTGTTCAAGCTGCCTTCCACAACACAAACATGATGACGTAGGTCGGTCTACACGGACCCCTTTTTCTAGCCACACTTCAGCTGAGCTGAGCTGACCTGCCGATCATCGAAAGATCAGATGAAGGAAAGGCCGGGAGTCAGGACGACTTGTATCCTTAAAGGTATTTATTATTAACCATGAGTCCGAGTTCAAAGATAAAGATACATCGGTACAGTAGAGTAGTTACCTACAACACCTAGGCCTAGGTAAACAATCGATATGAATACGATATAATTAATATCCTTCCCCAGATCTCCATCTACTGTAAATCCCAAATCATAGTGGTAGTTGCATCATGTACGGTGATCTACGGCAAGGATATCATAAAATACCTACTGTAATCTCGCTTCTTTATTTCCTGTTTCGTCTCAATCTCCCTCACCGCCGCTGAAAACGTGTTCCTTGCACAGCTGTAGCATTCAATTTCTTCCGCTTCTATCGCGCATCATATTTTCAACACGCGTCCCTCCTCCCATCGTCTTCGACCTCAACGCCGCTAGGATGGCCGAGGACAAGTTCAATAAGACGACGGATTTCCAGACGGCAGAGCTGTCGCCTGGCCAATTTGAGAATATTCTGAACTTCCGGGATGTGGGGAAGACCATCAATGGGTTTTTAGGCGAAAAGTTAGTATCTACACCGGTCAAATAAACTGGCGCTGAGAAGCCAGGCGCATGATTGAGGGGAAGCTCTTCAGGTCTGCCCGGCCGGGTAATTCTCACTGTTTTTCTTCTAAATATACCAGTTATTGACTTGTCCAAGATGATGCAACAATTTCTGATAGAGAACGCCTGCGCGATGAATACGGTATCAAGACTATCATTGATCTAAGAACAGTGTAGGCCGGCCCTCCTACTGCTCTCTTATCCCATACTGACCAAGGCAGTACCGAGCACGCAAATCAAGCAAAGAAGCGCGAAGGCGACTTGCAGATACCAGCATTGGTCAAATCGAACGCAGCTCTAGCAGAACCTCTTAAGATTCCCTGTATGAATTACCTCGAAATCAACATCAATGGCAAAGGTTTCGAACGAAGCCTGCTCTGGAAACTCTCATACTGGAGTTTCACGTAAGTGTAATTCTCCTCGGTCACCCCCAGCCGAAATCTGACATACATCTATAGGAAACTCATCGTCCTAATGATCTTTGGGTACCGCATGCAAGCAATTAGTATCTTGGGCCGAGAAGTCATGCAACCCCGCGGTCTGGTGGGGTTGGGCTTCGATTCTATCGATTACTGCGGGCCTGAAATCGCCGACGTAAACTACCTTACCTCCTATTTTGCCCCAATTCAACATTAATCACATTGCAGGCCCTGAGAGAATTTTCCAACCCCACCAACGCACCAATTCTGACCCACTGCACTCAAGGCAAAGATCGCACTGGTCTCCTCATCGCTCTTATTCTCTTCCTAATGCAAATCCCCATCCCAGCCATCACCCATGACTACATCCTTTCTGAAACCGAACTCTTTCCAGAAAGGGAAAGTAGGTTGGTTGAGATCAGAAGTATCGGGCTCACGGATGACTTTGCTGGGTGTCCGAAGGAATGGGTTGAAGAGATGGAGAAACATCTAAAGGAGAAGTATGGGGATGTCGGGCAATATTGCCGAGGGATAGGATTTACGAAGGTGGATGAGGAGAGGTTGATTAGTGGGCTGACAGGCAGAACTAATTAGAGGCATGACTTCGTTCGTTAAATGCAAACATCCAAATTATCACTCCGGTATGGCACTCTTTGATAAATTACCATGTATCTTCATACCACAATAGAAATCTATCTCGAGAGCAGAAGAGCTTCTTGTCTAAACTTAGAGAAGTCTTTCGATCATCCTGTCCAAGACACCTATCACTTCACTCCCTCTAAACTCGGCATAGCTAAAGCAGAACCAAATAGACCCTAAATAGATTGCAAGTCTGATGTCCCGAACGACTAGGAAAGACTGGAGAGCTCATCTTACGAAACGAACATACCCAGGGAAATATATTCATGGAGGGGTATTTATTTCAGACGTAATGCACAGTATTCCATAATGACTCGCCGTGAATTTCGTGTCGTAGGAATGCTTAAGGAATGGCAGCATGTTACATTCAGGGAGAAGGATAAAGCGTGTGGAGCCTGAGTGTCGGACTTGTAGGGGTGAGACGCTATAAAAAAGAAATATGGGTTGATCACTTAAGTTCCGCGACCGTCTTCCATTTATTGAAAGAACCTTCGAATATTTGCCAGTAGCCTACAAATGGGCCTAGTAAGCCGGCGACGAAGATAAATACCACTGTTGCAGAGATAGTCTCGTCCCCCCTAATTGTTTAAAGGGTAGCTTCTCGCCGAGTCTGTATTAGCCATGGAATCGGAACACTGGCCACTTCAACTGTACAAAAAGGGATCAATTGAGCTAGGTTTATGGATATGGTAAAGAACTATACGACGATGATATATAAGATAATTATCTTCGGAGTCGAGACTTACAATATTTCCATGTCAGTACCACATCAAAGCCCCCTTTGATAAGCGAGTTCTGAAAGTTGGTATCCTTGCCCGTCCATAAAAAAGCATATGTTACAGTATAATGCCCACCTACTATTAGGACATGACGTTGAATTTGAAGGCTCCAGGCATTGAGTTTAAATGGTGCGCAGGCTTGTTTATCGGACTTTCCGAGTTCCGTCTTCGGTAAGTCATCCTTCGCACTCGCTTGCCAATATCCTATTCTTTATACGGATCTATGTGCATAGTAGGTTCAAAACCTTAAAAGTCATTAGGAATCAAAACGATTTCTTCGGATCTATAAAGAGCATACAAGCTCGGCTGAATGCCATGCTAATCCCTCAATTCCTGCGTGCATTAACGTGAAACGTAATCCTTTTGACATAGCCTAGAGATTAGGAACAGATAGGATAAATTCGCAGAAAACGGACATGCCATATGCGTAAAAATGTATATAGGTGAACCTTTCTCACCGCTACTCGTTGATAGCAAAAAGTAATACGGACTAAGGCAGCACCGACACGTGAGGGGTAGCTGGATTTAATCGGAGCCGACATGGACTAAACTTCGGGATTGTTGCGAGGCTCCGATACATCAACGTTTAAGCTAGCGCAACGTTAAAATCACCAGGAAGGTACCATGCCGTGGAATACTGATAGAATAGATAATATGCGGTAACTTAAGCTTTGTAACCCAAACCCAAAGATTCAGATGCAGGAGATTAAAAGGTTTAACAATCGTCAAAACAAGCTTCTGCTGCGCACTTGCCTGGATCTATTGATATATTAGACTTTGAAGTTTCACCTCCGTGACACTGATACTATGGAAGGGAGCGAAGAAGGAAGATGGATTATTAGGTACCTTTTTTATCTTACACAAGACAAGCGCGGGAGAGGGCTCGGGTCACTCCGTGCCTACTATATGGAGCATAAGACTCGATCTAGGCCATTATGACTTGCAGGAAGATCAGCACAGCCAATCCCACGACTATCTATACATTAGTACAGTACAGGACCAAGCACCTCGCGGGGTGCCGTTCTTCTTTCAATCAGACTTCGGCGACTTCAAATTCCCGATAAGTTGTTCGTCAGCTCGGGCAGGGCGGCCAGCTTTTGCCGATACGGAATACTCCGTATGGATGGGGCGAACAACAAGCTTCTTTGTAGTATCAAGCTTCATTGTATCTTTAATCCCTGCATCTGTCTAGAAAGAAATGCACCAAAAACACACTACGAATCCACATGCCGCCACCAGCACCACCATGATTCTTTGGATTCCGACTGGCTGTTTGAGACGGAGACGGAGTTAAGATAAAATAATAATGTATTGTTTGGTTACTGCTATATCGCCCACCTCCTCTTTCTCCTCTCTTCCTCTCTCCCGCTTCCCACTTCTGGTCACCTCCATGGATTTTCATCCACTTCACCACAGAGACAACCATGGTAGATTCTGGTCATGAGAAGGATTTAAGGCCTGCCGACCCTGCTGGAACCGGCGAGACTACGAACCACGACGAGCCACTCGATGTCGACAACGAGGAGAAAGACTACATAGAGGTAGCAACCTATCGAGAGCCCTCGAGCCATGACGAGAAAGAGCTTCAGCCTGGCATGGACCGGGCGAGGAGTTATGCCACTACAGCTTCTGCGGTGACAAGAGCAGTCTCCCGTGTGGATATGCCACGCCAGAAGAAACCGTGGTACAAAAAGGTCAATCCCTTGAAATGGGGCGGGGTACCAGAGGTCCCAGAAACAAGGGGAGTCTCCAGAGAATACAACGCACCGTTTCTCAGTATGGTGTATTTCCAATGGGTGGCACCAATGATGAGCGTATGTCTATCTCGCCCTATGTACTTTACCATGTATACTAAAGGTAAATAGGTTGGTTACAAACGACAACTCGAGCCAAACGATATCTGGACCGTCAACCCCAAACGATCGGCCGAGGTCATGACGCTGAAATTACAGGCCTCGTTCAAGAAGAGAGTGGCAAGAGGCGACAAATACCCATTGTTGTTTGCGCTACACGAAACCTTCAAGACGGAATTCTGGATTGGTGGAACATGTCAATTTTTTGCCAACATCTTCCAGGTTGTTTCGCCCTATACACTTCGATACCTCATCCAATTCGCCGATGACGCCTATGTGGCTCAGAAAGAAGGAAAACCCGTTCCGCACATTGGAAATGGAATTGGTCTCGTAATTGGAATCACATTTATGCAAATGTGTCAATCTTTAGGCACGAACCATTTTATTTACCGCGGAATGATGGTAGGAGGACAGTCAAGAGCTGTGCTCATTTCCGTTATTTTTGAAAAGGCTATGAGCATCTCTGGGCGCGCCAAGGCTGGCGGTCGAGCAATTGAGGACGGGAGGGAGACAAAAGTGGAGGAAACCGCGCTGGAAAAGGAAAAGAGCACCAAATGGTATCAATTTCGAAAGTCGGGCGCGAAAGTTTCAACGGCGGACTCTGGGCGTGGTGTCGCTGGTGATGGGACAGGATGGGCAAATGGTAGAGTAGTAAACCTGATGTCCGTTGATACGTATCGTGTGGATCAGGCATCCGGAATGTTTCATATGGTTTGGACCGCTCCTATTGCATGTATCATTACGTTGATACTCTTGCTTGTCAATTTGACGTATAGCGCCCTTGCTGGATTTGCATTGCTCATTATAGGATTGCCAGTCTTGACCGAGGCTGTAAAGAGTCTTTTCAAACGGCGCAAGAAGATCAACAAAGTGACAGATCAGAGAGTCAGTCTTACCCAGGAGATCTTACAAGCTGTCAGATTTGTCAAATTCTTTGGATGGGAAAGTGCATTTCTTCAGCGGCTTAGCGATATTCGAAATCGGGAAATCGCAGCCATTCAAGTTCTCCTCGCCATCAGGAACGCCATCAACGCTGTATCGATGTCCTTGCCCATCTTTGCATCTATGCTAGCATTTATCACCTACTCGCTCACCAGCCACAGCCTCAACCCAGCCCATGTCTTCTCCTCGCTTGCGTTATTCAACTCGCTTCGCATGCCGCTGAATCTCTTACCTTTGGTCATTGGACAAGTTACCGATGCTTGGTCGTCGATTTACCGAATCCAAGAGTATCTAATGAGCGAAGATCAAGATGATGAGGCAAAGGTTGACGAGGAGGCTAAATATGCTCTAGAGATAGACAAAGCCGACTTTACCTGGGAACGAACGGCAACGCAGGACCCAGATGCCATACAGATGACAGGAAAGAAGCAAACCAAAGACGAGCTGAAATGTGAGAGGGCGGCCAAGAAACAGGCAATCAAAGATGAGAAACTTGCTGCGAAGAGAAAATCCACAGAGCCTGTTCCATCTGGCGAAATGACACCCGACGACGTCAGCACTCTTATCGGGGACAAAGAACCATTCAAGTTACAAAACATAGACTTCTCAATTGGCCGTAATGAGCTAGTAGCTGTTATTGGTGGTGTTGGAAGTGGAAAATCTTCCTTACTTGCTGCGCTTGCGGGAGATATGCGCAGAACGAAAGGTCGGGTGACGATGGGTGCAAGTAGAGCATTTTGTCCACAATACGCCTGGATCCAGAATGCGACTGTGAGAGAAAACATCCTCTTTGGCAAGAAAATGGACAAAGAGTGGTAAGTCTACATTATTTTCTTCCGTTATGCTCGGGTTTAGGGTATCTGCTGATATCGCTACAGGTACAAACAAGTGGTCGATGCCTGTGCCTTGCAACCCGACCTGGAAATGCTTCCACAAGGCGACGGCACCGAGATCGGCGAGCGTGGAATTACAGTGTCAGGAGGTCAAAAACAACGACTCAATATCGCCAGAGCAATCTATTTTGATTCCGACTTGATTCTCATGGACGACCCTCTATCGGCTGTAGATGCACATGTTGGCCGACACATTTTTGATAATGCCATCATGGGCCTCATGAAAAACAAGTCTCGAGTTCTAGCCACTCATCAACTGTGGGTTCTCAACCGCTGCGATCGCATCATTTGGATGGAGGAAGGCCGGATTCAAGCAATCGACACCTTCGACAACCTTATGAAAGATCACCCGGGCTTCCAACTCCTAATGGAGACTACCGCGGTTGAAGAAAAGCATGAGAAGGAGGATCATGTAAACGATGACGAAGTCGAGGGGGAGAAGAAGGATGTGAAGAAGAAACGCAATGGTGCAACTTTAATGCAAGCCGAAGAAAGGGCCGTCAAGAGCGTTCCGTGGTCTGTCTATATTGACTACATAAGGGCTTCGGGCAGTCTTCTGAATGCGCCCATCGTCCTCATCTTCCTCCTTATGTCCCAGAGCGCCAACATCGCAACCAGTCTCTGGCTGTCCTGGTGGACAAGTGATAGTAGGGCTTCATCCTTAGACTTTCATAATATTGGCTAACAGTGAATAGAATTTGGATATTCGAAAGGAGTCTATATTGGAGTCTACGCAGCTCTAGGTGCATCTCAAGCACTGCTTCTTTTCTTCTTCGCTCTGTCCCTTACAATGATGGGAACTATTGCTAGTAAAAGGATGTTGAACCGGGCCATCACTCGAGCACTCCGAGCACCAATGTCTTTCTTCGACACCACGCCATTGGGACGAATCACCAACCGCTTCTCTCGAGACGTCGACGTCATGGACAACAACTTGACAGATGCGATGAGAATGTATTTTCTGACTCTCGCCATGATTCTCTCCGTCTTTGGCTTGATCATCGCATATTTCCATTATTTTGCCATCGCTCTTGGACCTCTCTTCATATTATTCGTCTTTTCCGCCGGGTATTATCGAGCGTCCGCTCGCGAGATGAAACGATACGAGTCTGTTCTTCGCTCCCACGTTTTCGCTAAATTCAGTGAAGGCCTATCAGGAACTGCATGCATCCGTGCTTATGGGCTGAAAGATCAATTCATTGTCAATCTTCGAAATTCAATTGATGATATGAATAGCGCATACTTCCTTACATTCGCCAATCAACGTTGGTTATCAACGAGGCTGGATTTTATTGGCAACTTACTCGTCTTTGTAACCGGTATATTGGTTGTTACTTCACGGTTCAACGTGTCACCATCCACTGCCGGCCTAGTGCTAAGTTATATTCTTTCCATCGTTCAGATGATTCAGTTCACAGTCAGACAACTTGCTGAAGTTGAGAACGGTATGAACGCCACTGAGCGTATTCATTACTATGGCACTCAGCTGGAGGAAGAGGCGCCGCTACACACCATTGACGTAAGAAAATCGTGGCCCGAATCTGGAGAAATCATCTTCGAAAACGTACAAATGCGATACCGAGAAAATCTCCCACTTGTACTATCAGGCCTTACAATGCATGTAAAGGGGGGCGAGAGAATTGGAGTCGTAGGCCGAACAGGAGCAGGCAAGTCTAGCATTATGTCCACACTCTTCCGTCTCGTCGAACTCTCCGGCGGATCCATTACTGTCGACGGCATGGACATCAGCAAGATCGGTCTCCAGGATCTCCGTTCTCGTCTTGCAATCATCCCGCAAGATCCAACCCTCTTCAAAGGCACCATCCGCAGCAACCTAGACCCTTTCAACGAACATACCGACCTCGCACTATGGTCCGCACTTCGCCAATCCGATCTCATCTCGGAAGACGCGTCCCTAGATGACAAATCACCCGGCCGCATCCACCTCGACGGCATCGTTGAAGACGAGGGCCTGAACTTCTCCCTAGGTCAGAGACAGCTGATGGCTCTTGCCCGCGCTCTTGTACGCGGCTCCCAAATCATCGTCTGTGATGAGGCAACCTCAAGTGTAGATATGGAGACGGATGAGAAGATCCAACGTACGATTGCAACGGGGTTCAAGGGCAAGACGCTGCTATGTATTGCGCATCGTCTTAAGACCATCATTAATTACGATCGCATTTGTGTCATGGATCAAGGACGCATTGCGGAGCTAGATGCACCGTCCGAGCTCTATCGGAAAGGTGGCATTTTCAGGAGTATGTGTGATAAAGGAGGCATTAGGAAAGAAGACTTTGTCGGATTTGAGGAGAATAGTCCCTAACCTGCATTGATTTATTTATTATTATTTATTTATTCCATTAACGTCCGATGTGAGTCTAAGACTATATAGGACGGCGCCAGCCTAATGCTAGAGCGATCTAGTAGTATATTTAAAAAAAAGATAAGATAATATATCTCTAGTTAGAATATAAGGGACTATTTATTTATTTATTTATTTATTTACTCTATTAATATCTTATATAAGTCTAAGACTATATAGAACAGCGCTAGTCTAATGCTATAAAGGTGCTTGTCACGGATCTGGTCACATGACATGTCACGTGACGTCGACACGTCGGCGTGGCACCAGCCACCCGACTACCAGCCACCTTTCCCAGCCACAGGCTAATTAGCCGAGCGCATACATTTATTTATTTATTATTTATTTATTCCATTAACGTCCTGTGTGAGTCTAAGACTATGTAGGACGGCGCTAGCCTAATGCTAGCGCGGGCTAGTGGTATAGTCAAGAGATATGTTAATATGTTTCCGGTTAGAATCTGTAGGACTAAGCCTAATGCGGACTAGGTCTATAAAGCAATAACGCCATAATAATAAAAATCCCCTAGGGCCCTAAAAACGTATAACTAATAAATAAAAATAAATTAAGAAGTAGTAGAAAGTAAAGGCAGTCGGCTAGCATAGCCGTTTCTTATACTGCAATTACGCTCTTATGCATTCTAAGCTAAAATTGGGAAAAATCGATGGATTCGGCTAGTGGAGGTAGGCGGTGAGACTTCTAAGTAGTGTTTATTTATTTATTTATTTATTTATTTATTTATTTATTCCATTAACGTCCTGTGTAAGTCTAAGACTATGTAGGACGGCGCTAGCCTAATGCTAGCGCGGGCTAGTGATACAGTCAAGAGATAAGTCGATATGTTTCCGGTTGGAATCTGTGGGACTAAGCCTAATGCGGACTAGGTCCATAAAGCAATAACGCCATAATAATAAAAATCCCCTAGGGCCCTAAAAACGCATAACTAATAAATGAAAAGTGAATTAGGGAGTGGCAGAAAGCGAAGGCGGTTAGCTAGTATAGCAGTTCCTATGCTGCAATTGCGCTCTTATATATTCTAGGCCGAAATTAGGAAAAATCGATAGATTTGGTTAGTGGGAGTGGGCAGTGAGACTTCTAAGCTGTATACTATAGTATATACTTAGTTATTATCAAATTCTGCCTATTTAAGCCGCTATTTGCGGGTACTAATACCCGTTTCACCTAAGAAGGTTAGTAGATGCTAGCATCCGATTTTCGTCTTAAAGAGGGAGCGTAGGCTAAGCCTAAATAGGACACTGTCTTTTAGTCTTTTGCGTTCTTTACTATATTTAGGGCATCGTAGTATAAGATGCTATAGTGATTCAGGCTTGTAACTGCATATGTAGTGATTAGTAGGTGTTTTATTAAATCGTTTTAGGTATGTCCCAAAGTAGCCGTGTTGTAGCTTAAGCTGGAAAAAGGCGCTAGCAGTGGATCTAGCCGTTTTGGGAAGCTGTATTCGAGAGTGAATTTGTGGGTTGAAAAAGTTGAAGTAGTGGCCTTTGCCGCTAGCTAGAGCATTCGCCTATGCATGCCGTTGTATTTGGTTGATTTTTATGCCTATATAGGCATAGCTTGTGTGGGCAGCCAGGGCGGTCTGGGTGGTCGGAAGTGATTTGGACCCTAGTTTGGCCAGTTTATCCGCCTCTTCATTTCCATCGATGTCTTAGTGTCCGGGGACCCACTCTATTGCTAGCGTGGATCCATTTTGGGCTATTTTAGTGGCAGCTGCAATAGCACGCAACTGGTGAATTTAGCCCGGATTATCAGAAGGCCGCGCTAGCCTATAAATAGCTGCTTAGTTGTCTGCATATATCCGAATATCCCTATTTGGGCCTAGTCTCGTCGCATCTTCGAATGCTAGGGCAATGCCTTCTAGCTCTCTATTATAGACGATTTGGTGGGGACCTATATTTCGGGCTAGTCATATAAAAGGGGGACTAGCGCATTTGTAGCCCGCTAGTCCCACTCCAATTCTAGTGCTTTTAGGCATTTGCGACCCGTCTGAGTAGTATAACACCTGATTTAGCGATTGTGACCGTATTTGCCGGCGGTGTATCGTGGCAGTTTCCTCTTTTAGCAATTTGGCGATTCGTGTGTCCCAGGGGACAGAGCGGTTCCAAGGGGCAAAGTGGAAGTGGTGTATAGGTTCGATTTTGCCGCTAAGCAGGGGTGCGATAGTCCTGGCAATCGTCTGAAGTCCGTATCCTGAGTAGCTGGATTTGGCAATTTGGCGATTTACTGGATGTTCTGGACTTAGCTTAGCTAGCCGAAAAGCGTATTTGCGTGTAGCTGTGTCTAGCTGTATTGCGGGCGGTGGGAGGCTAGCTTCCACCTCTATGGCCTGAATTGGACTAGTCCGAAAAGTGCCTAGGATTTTGCGTAGTGCCAAATTTTAGAGGTGCTATAGGTGGTCTTTTGCGTATGCTTAGCCTCGCCACTAAATTAGTGATGCATAGTCGGACATGCTAGTAATACAAGCTAGGTATAGCTATCTGAAAGCGGTGGGACTAAGCCCTTATTTACTATTAGCTAGCCTGGACATACGTCTAAATGCAGACTTAGCCTTAGCAGTGCGGATGGTGATATGCTCCTTAAATTGTAATAGAGCGTTGAAGTGAATGCCAAGCCACTTAACTGTCTGCTTTAGGGGGACTATAGTCCCGTCTAGGAGTATAAGGGACGCTAGCTTAGCGCGTTCGCCTATGCTAAAGTGAATCAGTTTAGACTTTTTCGGGTCGAATTGGATTGCGTTTTTACTAGCTAGCTAAAATAGCTCTTTAGCTACTAGCTGCAGTATCTTAACGTTTTTGCGGGGGCTAGTTGATGCGTAAGAGAGAGTAATATCGTCTACATAAGAGATAAATTTGACTGCACGTGACCTAAATAGGCCCCATATATAGATCAGAAAAAGGATAGGCGAAATTGGACTTCCTTATAGGATTCTGGTCTAAATAGGCTGGTTTTTATCTGATTATCCATTAAATAGAAGCTTAAGTGACCGCCCGCTTATAAAGGATAAGACCCACTTAATAACCAAATCGGGAAAGGCTAAATCCTTAAGAATTATAAGTAGCTGGTTCTTAGATATATAGTTGTATGCCCCTTTTACGTCTAGTAGGAGCGTACTAGTGATTTTGTTTTATAGCCGATTTGTATGGATATAATCCGCTAGTATAGCGCCTGCGTCTATAGCTGACTTTTTAAGTCGGCCACTAATTTAGCTAGGATGCAGCAGATTTGGTGTGGTTTCGGCTAAGTAAGCTAGTCGCCTAGCTAGGATCCTTTTGCTGACTTTATTATTTA